AATATAAGGCTAGCTTTGGACTTGAGGCTACCTATAAAGTTTAGACAGGTCAGACAAACATTTCTAACAGCAATCCTGCCTCCAGGCAGAACAACAAGCTCGGGGAAAGTCATGAGAACATTTCTCTGTCTTTTATGACAATATCAAAGGCTGCTCTACCCATTCACAAGGTTTCAGAAAGGTTTACAGGATTAAATGTTTAAAAGTTAATAAAACACATTGTTTCTTTGTTTTTTTCCCATCCAAATAGTAATTGTTTGTGAAAGGGCTGACACTAAAGAGCAACTGCCAAGGTTCATGCAAGTTCAATTCCCATCTGATCATTCTAATGATGTTTGGTGAGAATCTGTTTTTGTGGAATTAACCTCCATGACCTCCCACTGCCTATCTACAACCCCATCCCATAAACAGTGTCCTACACCTATGAAGAAAAACACATTCTGGGGAGAAAAGACCCATCATGTGAAACAGAGGTAAGAACTATGCTTGTACAGGAAAGCTCCATTTCTGGTAAATAAGCCATGAGGTAGAAAAAGAGGTCATGCAGACTCTTCCCTTGCATGAAGTTTCACAAGTCCCCAAAGCCCAGTCAAGCTGTGCACCTTGTTGCGAGGGGCGGTTCTGGGTGATCATGCAATCGTTCCAAATGTTACAGGAACATACAGCAAGAAGTGCTAAAGCCCTCTCCACATCTTCAGCAAGATTTGTGCAAGAAGGGGCCAAATTTTGCTTCTAACTGTGTCCACCAGTATTTCTGAGAGAGAGAATTACTGGTAGATACAATTGGGAATTGCCTACTTACACTAGAAAAAACATTGCTGTTACAGGAATATGTGTAGTGCTTCTGGACATAGGAGCAAGGTGAGATTTATTATATCAACTTGGTATCTGCTAGGAGCCTCCTCATTCCAGTTGTCCTGTATTACTGAAGTGCACTAAGTGCAGGGTTTTGCTGGAACAACAAAAAATGCAGGTGGGGATGAATATCACATCCCCAAGTTATGCAGATGCTAAAGGTCTTTCATGTAATTTCTGCCCTTCCTGATGAGACCAGAAATTGACACCTTGCCCTCAAGTTCTTTTTCTACAAAGACTAAGATGGAAACAGAAAATAAGTGGCTTGTTACTTCCTCTCAGCATCTGTGAGACTGTGGTGCCAATAACACTGATGCAAAAGGAAACCATTTTCATTAGTTGTTAAAACAGCAGAAGCTTGTTTTACTTTGGCTGCAACATCCTCCTGACTCCCACGCAGGAAGTATTCATGCAATATTCCACACAGGCAGAATATGGCCAGTTCCTAGAAGTCCAAATACAAGAAACTGCAGCCCATAGACACTATGCTGATCCTGGATTATAAAAGTGAGAGGTAGTCTGCTTTCATGTGTAACCCTGGGCTGCAGTCCCTGAGTTCTTTTCTTCTCTTTGTCCCTAGACTTTCAATGATCTTTGGCAAAACTCCTCCTTCCAGTGTGTGCCTCACCTGTAAAACAAGGCTAATGACCAACGGGTGAAAAACTAGGCGTTACTGTTATTTCATGGACAGCCTCCTCCGCATAATAAAGGTACCTCTGAAGGAGGAAATTCATTATTACTGGTTTCTAAGTGTGCCTAGGTAAATTTTACTATGAGAAAAATAGCCATTATTCCATTATTTCTGTTCTTTTGCACCAAAGCAAATAAGTCAAGTGGCTTATGAAACTGGCCACATCACTGAGATGGAGAGGACATATTGCATTTTGACAAGAGTTTAACATTGTTTTATTTACACTTTCATTGCTAGGGGCAATGGGACAGAAGTCTATTTACCAAATACTCTTCCTGGTGCAATAAGTTATGGGATTTCTCAATTAGCACATGGAGCTTATGTATAAAAGACAAGAGGTTAAGCAACACTGTAGTGCCCAGTGGGCCATCTGGTGAACATTAGGACTATCAATAAATCACGAAAGCACCAGTTCATCAAGAAAATTCCATTTCAAACCACTGACGGGAAGAAAAAAAAAAAAGGAAAAAACTCACAAAATTGGTATTTTCATCTCTTATAAAAACAGGAGCATTAAATAACTTTAATCTAATTTCAATTGTTTTATTGGTTCTCTTCTGATGACCACATGGCTTCTTCCCATACTGAATGTTTAGCCCTTTGTCTTGCACACAAAAGCATTATGAAATAACTTGGTGCATCATCACAGGAGAAGCTCATCTCTTTCCTCTTAGTCTTTCTCTTCACCATGGGTGATAACATAACAGAGGTTCTTATAGTCAAGATTACCAGAGACATCTGGAGGGAAAGCAGCAAACATCTGGTTGATCTGCCAAGCAAACAGGAGATGAGTGTTACAAACGTAGGACTGTGGGACAGCAACCTGTACTGCTTTTCATTTACAGCCTAGTTCAGCTCCCTTCTGCCTTGATCCGTTAACCACTATGCAAAATTTTTCCTTAGCTTCAGTAAAATTGAACTAGGAATTAGGAAACAACTAGTTAATACAGTTCTGCTAGAATCCCAACAAGTTCCCTGTCAAAAAGAGCTGCCCCTGAAATCCAGGTAAGCCCTGGCCAAATAATGCACTACAGTCTGCACTCCAGTTTGTTCTTGCCACGAACCAACGCCACTCAACCTCCTCTTCTGAAAATAAAGCCCCTCTAAATTCCTCCCAGCCAGCAGAATCCATGTTCAGTCTCATACAAACCACAAAGTTAGTACCTCGTTTCAGAACTCATTTCAGATTTCAAAAAAAATAACTCTCAGAGAAATGGAAACCAGATCACAGTCCCCACCCAAACCCACTTGAACTGTAGTAAATTCATTGTCCAGCTCACCATAGAAAGAACAGCAAGAGATAGGCCATGCTTACACTTGGATGGCAGTCCAAAGAATCTGTTTGACTTTGATTTAGCCATGGAGCTATTCAGAAGAGATGCTTTGAATTGTTCCTAATTGCTAGAGCTGGCATCACCCTTCTCACAGTCTGGATTTCAGCTGAATTCATGCATTTAAAGAGGGGCAAATACTTATTACTGAATAGTAGCTGGAGATAGATTCCTATTTTGAATAAAGAAGGTCCTTACCTCTTCTTGACTGAACCGGTCTGCCTGTGTCATAAGCATTTCTTTGATGCTGTTCAAATAAAATGAAATAACCTGATTAAAGGGTGATAATGGCACATGACAATTCAGATGGCAAGATCCCTCCTGAAGTTGCACGAAAGAAAATCTGTGTGACCGCATAAATTAGAGCTGTTAATCCTCACATGATATTGTAAAAGATTTTCTGTGGGCACCCATCAGTGTCAATGCCTCGCTCTGCCAACTTATTTTGCTTTTGTGACATTTTATAGAGGTTTAAAATTGTTTAAGGTTATTACTGTAATTGAAATACAGCAATTTTGTATGCTTATCTTAACCTAAAATGGTAGGTTTTCTCACTTGATGTTTAAAATTTGGATCACTTAACAAAACCAAAAGAGAGAATATTTTCTGTAAAATCTGAGGATGAAAGGAACAGAACATGAAATGAGAAAGAGGACTTGAAAGAGAACTCCAACAGCTATTCCAAATCATCATCTGAGAATCCCTTTATTTGCATGCAGTTCCCAGAGGAGACTGTGAAACTGCATGAGACCTGTTGTATTTCACGGTACAATGTCTTGTTGGAGTTACAGCACTGTAACAACGAGCTTATCCCACACACAATCTGCATCCTATGCAATTACATCAAAGAGAATATTTTTGGGACAGACCCTCAGCTGATTTACCCTGGGTTTTCAAACTCACTGTGGGAAGTTAGTCGAGCACGTAAATTTTTTTACCTAAGTTTATAGGTGAATAGAAAAGCCAAGAAGAATGATTAGTGTTTCTAGTCTAACCCCTTTAGAGAAAATGTCTTTATATTTCACCCAGTTACTAATGTACTGAGAGCAATACACGCACAATGTGCTAGAACATCCACCAGTATGAACTCAGTTATATGATATAAACATCCCTTTCACTTGCACTAGTGATTTCCCCTTCCTGTAGAATTCCTATATTAATTTCAAAGAGTTTGCATTCATACTGAAGAGGCAGAGTTGTCTCCTTTTGTTACTTTCTGCTCTTTAAAGTGAATATTTATTTCTGTTTTTTAAAGTGAATATTTAAAACTATTTATAATAGAAATCATGCCTGCACAGGAACACTTCCATAAGAGCAAAATTCACCTACTGTGGATGCAGATGTTCAGGCAAAATAGTAAAACTTCTCTTCCTGCTTCACACAGAATCACAGAATCATAGAATGTCAGGGATTGGAAGGGACCTCGAAAGATCATCTAGTCCAACCCCCCTGCATCTTGAGTGACAAAAGTCACACAGATAGAAGTGTAGTTTTGATGCCAAAGCTACAACTGTACTTCCTCATTTCTCTGACACACATATTTTTTTTCCAGTAAAAGGCTACAACAAAGACATATCCCAATTTGCATAAGAGGCATATATACTTCTGAATCTCTTTCTTGTTGATGTGAAGTGCTCGTTTGGAAGGACAGAGAGAGAAAACTGAAAAAAAGAAGTTTCTGGGTAATGAATAAGGAACTTACCCACAAGGTTAGGAGTGAAAATATTGCTATTTTTGATTTCTTATTAGGCCATTTGTTATGTGACTGCGTTTTTTTAAGCTGGATTCTCAAATGATCAGTGAGTGCATGATTCGAGAGATCATTGTTATCAGCATAAATTGATTATTGGATATACGTACACTGGGGCAAACGGCATTAGCAAATGTAAATAGGAAGCGTGAATCAGGAAGGAGCTTGGTGAATAGAAGGAAGCATTTACAGCAATTTTGTCAGAAGTTACAAATAAACTTCATCACAAACAGGGCTGAATTCAAAAGAGATCTAGGCACTATGTGTCTTCTATTCACATGCTTAAAGTATTTAGGGGAAAATAAAAGATCAAACATCTAATTACAATATTCTGATGCACAGCCCAGTAGGCTCTGGCACACTCATAAGGAAGGAGGACTGAGTTAAGGGTCTGTGCACATTTTCCATTATTTATTTCACAGAGAAACAAACACTCACAGTTTCCAAAGCTAGAGATTAGGCACTTCTTTCTTTGTGAATCTTGTTTTCTTTTTTAAAGACTATTTGCTTCTTAAAAAAAAAATAAAAAAATCAAAGTCTTCTTTGCAAAAAAGAATATCCATTTGCCTTGACCTGAGAGTCTAAATGTTATCTCTTGTCCTGGCTGACATCAGTTCCTTCTACAGTTACAAATACTTTGTTGCATTCCTATATTTTCAAAACCTTTTAAAAATTATCTGTAAAATCTCTGGAGCATTTTGGTTTTCCACTGGGTTTGCCCTTTCTACTGTGCTGTCTTGAAGAAAAAGAGGTGAGTTGAAATGAGCAGTGCTCTACAGCTATGCTGGGAAACATCACAAGCTCAGCCAAGCTAATCTCCAATGGTCCAGAATGCATGTCAACTCCTTGGTCCATTTTCATCTGGTACAAATCTGCAAAGTTTTGTTGGCATCAGCATTAGACACAGTTGATGCCGGCCTGACTCAACTTATCCAATGAACGGCATTTAGGACTGAATCATCTAACCTTTCCAAACTCTATGCCAGTTTATACCAGCTAAGAATCTGACCTAAAGCATTTTCTCTTTTCGACGTCATGCTATAGGAAGGATTTTATGCGTGGTAAAACGATGCGGACAAACAAAGTCTGTCATTGAATTTGGAAGTAAGTTATAAACTCCTGCAGCTTCTGGAAAGGTTAGAAGACTCCATCCCAGCTACCATCAGATGGACTAAGTGAGTCATTTCCAGACTAGAGGTGAAAACACGCAGAGGGAAGAGACATAAAAATCCCCAGAAGGATGTTAACTCCATGAACATAAAAAGAAGTTCTGATGAAAAGGTCAACGTGGCTGGTTTTGGAGAGAAACATTCCAGGATTTTTTAATATGGAGAAATATTATTTATTAACATTAACTGTCATATTGAAATGGCTGTATGAGCCAACATAAAAATTATTTCAAAGCCTTCAAATGTCTAAATTTTGGAAGCATATGAATAGAAGTTAAACCTCAAAGCCATTCATGGAATTGATTTAATGGTTTGTTCTGTAATGATCAACATTACCCTCGGGTCTAATAAGTAAACATTATGCTCTGTTGTGGTGATGAACTAAAACAATTGTCTAATGTTAGCAGTGCAGTGGGGGTGGGGACAAGGTTGACCTTTTCCATCAAGGAAAAATAAAAGTATTTCTCTCTCATCTTCATTTTGGAGTGGGATACTGCATTCCTAATTTGCCCCAAACTCCAACTGGCTTCCAGCATCCAAGGAATGTAGAACTGGACATAGGGTGGCAAGCTGCAGATTTTGTATGCAGTATATTGTTACAGATAGTGGTGGGAAGTGCAACATTTCATGGGTTTTGTATTATCAGAAGGTTGTCTTTCATGGTTGTGATTTCACTACCGTGTGATCTGGCCTATTTGGCAACAGGCTGCATTTAATTGTGATTGTTTGAGTCACTTCTGATGTATTTCTGACTGTTCTTCCCAAGCTGTTTGGATAATATTAATCCCAAAATAATCAAGATGACTGTTAACCCTCTGTTCCTTCTGATTGTTTGCTACCCTCGTGTTTTAATTAATTTGGAAGTTCTTCAGTGAAAAGACTGTCTCTTTGCTTTTATTTTGTATATTGCTTACCATAGGAGAACTCTCATACCCACTGGCGCACTGTCATAGAAAAGCATGTTGGTAATGAAAAGAAATTTTGTACATGAATTTTGTATTTTCAACTAACTTTCCTGAGACGTTGATAATTGCAGATAATGTCATGGAAAACTCCACCTTAGAGGTTCTGGTAAGATGTTTAGTTTTCATTTACCTTATCACAACATTAACAGAATTAATTGATGCAAATACAATTTTGTAACTCATGGTTCCCTAATAAATTTCTTATACATACTATGCCTTATAAAATCTACCTGAAATGGCTGCTGCAGTAAAAGTGTAGATCCCAAATTCACCAAAGAATTTAAGCATATACATAAATCTAGGCACATAAAGCATTTCATTGGAGCCATAGGTCAGACCTCCTCATCCACTGACCTGATTTGATATCATTTATCTCACTTACCTGAAGGTCTGCTTACACCGCTCTAGCACTGCAATCATTTACATTTGCGTAATTAGCACTTAAAGTCTTTTTACCTTGCTTTGTTGGTGTAACAGGTTATGAATACAAATTAGTCCCACCTTCTTATTTTACAAATAGCCATCTTGACAACAATTGCCATATTATCAATAGTACTATTTGGTTTGGCTCCCACTGTATTTAGTGGAATTTTACAGGAAATTGTTGTAGAAGCAGAAGGCTCAGACAGTAAACATATAACAAGGAAAATGTCCTCACTAAAACCACGTCCCGGAGTTAATTAAATTGATCACTTTTTTTTAAAAGGCTTTCCCATTTCAGTTGAGCACTCTGAGAGTAAGGCACTAGACATTCATTTAAATTTTGCATATGGAGTTAATCTACAAAGAATCATGTGTTGATTTATATCCAGACCTTCAAAAAAGGCTATCTAATGGCCTACATGTGATTATATTTCCGTTGCCTCTTGCAATGTCTGAAGACAATAACATCTCTTTTTAGTATACAAATACATTCATACAATAGTCCAGTCTTTTAAGTCTGGCTTACAAAGCTAAATGTTTCTCTGCCTGACAGTTTCTCTGTCTCTTAAAATATTGTAAAAAAAAAAAAAATCTTTTAAGCAGTTCTTTAAACTTGTGCAATTATTGTTATAATTATTATTATTATTATTTTAAAAGGATTTGAAATAAACTTACTAGTCTGCCTTTATGTGGCCTTTTCCTTCTGGGTCGAAAATCTTAAAAGCGTTCAGAATGGTTTCTTCTGGGTCCGTGCCTAAAATTAATGAAATATAATTTAGAAGCCTGGATGTATTTCTATAGCTGCTGAATACTTGCTAAGTAATTGGATCCACTTGAAAACAGGGCAAAATGGAGAATTCTGCAGTTGTAGGTTTGAACACAAAGGTTCCTTAAGTCGGCAGCATTTGTCATGTCAGATAAACAACAGAGGTGAATAGTTCAATGCTCAGAAGCTTAAAAATAATAACTCATACCTATTCTGTGTCTGCAGGAGAGAAAACTTCCAGGAACTGGTCTCCAATATCAGTACCCAGAGGATTAGTGGCTTTCAGAAATGAAAATATAACAAACTGTTTCCCTCACTGGCTTCCTTTACTCTTGTGCTGTACGTTCCTTGTAAAAACACTTTTTGATGTTACTTGTTCTTCACTATATAGAGAATAGGTTATTTCCCTCAGTAAAGGAAATAGAGCTCAACATAAAATCAGAATGTCACTGGAATGCAATGGAAACAGGATGATCAATGTAAAACAATGACCTGCACTTAAGTTCTGTAGTGCACTTCCACTTAAGTAACTCTTGGTATAGAAAAAGGATGGTTTAAAGCACTAGACTATGGCTCCAAGATTTTGCTTCTGCTCTTAGCTGGGCCACAGACTTTTGGTATTACTTTAATTTTCCTGCTCCTCTGTTCCCAGCAGTAAAATGATAGTAATAGTCTTGCTTTTCTTCCATCCTTTATCTGTCCCATCTATTTAGACTGGAAAAAATTTGGGTCAGGGACTAGCTCTCACAGTGCCTTAATCTTGGCTGGGGTTTCTGACTATTCTGTAATAGTGCAGATTCTGAGTATACTCACAGTCAGTTTCAACCCACACCAAAGGATATGCTACATACTGTTTCTGACTATTCCCCGTTATTTGAAATATTACAGTAGTATAAATAATACAAATCATTATTTATAACTGTAGGAAACCAAATTACAAGCAGGTAGACCGACCTATGGACAAATGAAGCTACTTGGGATGCTGAAATCTTGAAAGTGTGATTAAAAGAAGGTAGTAACAGGAAGAAGTGCAGATTCAAAGTTTGTTTCAAAGTCTGGCAGAGATAGAACCAGAATAGAATCCAGTCAAGGTTCCTTGCTCTAATAACTACTTATGCTCCTGATACCTTCTTAGTTTCCTTTATTTAAAAGGGTTCACAAGGATTAGTAGTAGTATTGTAGTGGATATAATAGTGAATAAACCTGAGGCTGTATGGCCTCCTTCTTGTCACATACCGGCCTTGTATATTTTTTTGCCGAGCCGTAGGCAGCGTATTCGAACTGCAATGAATATGATCAATACAAAGAGCAGTGGTATTTAATGAGTGTTTTGATTGTCCCATGAAGAGAAACGTCTTCCAGCTCTGAGGAAAAGTCTGCATTCTAAGTAGTCACCACTGTGTGGGGGATTTTTTTTCCTTACTGTGTTTTACATTTTCTACTCTGTCATATCCTTGGACTTTGGCTTTGAAGAGAAGCAATGCAGCAGGCATTCTTTATTGATTAGCTGGTAAATAAAGAGGTTTCTTTGATGTGCAGCATCTCTGTTTTCTGTACAAATTGTATTATTCTGACTCCCTGTAGAAACAGCTCCATGTGGTTGGCATTAACATAAACTGAGTTTTGTTAGCTGTTCATCTGGCATCATAATCTCAATATACAAAGCTAAAGCTCGTTCTGAAATCCCAGCTTCCCCTTTATGACAGAAATCAATTATAGCACAACAAATTTTACTTAGAAAGCACCTTTCACCAAATCCTCTGAGTGGTACTTAGCTAATAAAGAGTGTTGCAAAATTGCCATATCCACTTCCTCTAGCCCTTTCTCCCTTTCTAATTGCACTACAAAGGCTCTTCATCCCAATTAGTTTTGATTGGGAATGTGCAGTCTTTTGGCTCTGCTTCCTTTGCATGACAAACCCAACCAGAAGGGCATGACAAGCACAGCTGTGATTTTCCCTTCACCAAATGGAAATTAAAAAAACCTCCTCCTCTGCTAGTAGCCAACAGGAAACCTGCAGACAAGAGGGGTATGCTTTACCATTCACCTTCCTGTGCTGGCTCTGGTTTTAGGGCACACAATTGGCAGGGCCAGACTCTGCCAGCTTCAGCAATCGTAAGAGACAAGAGGGAAGAAGGGAAAGGAAGAAGAGCTCATTTCCATGCTCTGTGTGATCACAAACAGACAGGAATGGGTAAGCAGGGCACTCCACAAGAAATTGTGACATATCCCAGAAGGAAGATTATGGTGAAGAGCACTACCTACACTGCAAGATGACATCTGGAATGTAATGGTGGTGGTGCTACTGCAAGCAAGACAGATTGATGTCTGAGTAATAAAATCCCCTCCTCAGTGTCAGTCTACAGCCTTCTCCATCACCTCTTACACTTCCCAGGCATGCTGTGTTCCTTAGCAATAGTGTATTTCTTTGAGAACTACATATATTCATTCTTTCTTTCAGACCTCTCTATTTTCTATTCCAATTGTAGAAAGCCCTGCACTGAAATGGTACTCAGCAATAAAAAGCCAGAGTCCAGCAGCAATACAATAAATGTTTTTCAGAAGATGGGATCAGATTTTTCCTTTTCTCTGTCCATTAGTTATTCTAACAAACGTCTGGAATGTGCTTGGCTAAGGCCAACCTTGCTTTGAAGGTCAAGGCTTTCACCTATCTCTAATGCATATAGGAAGATGACTAGAGGTTTCTCTTGGCCTCACATTCCCTCTCTTGCAGTTTGTAGCCATTAACAGTATAAGAGATATGACTAAATTACTAGCTCCCACAACAAATTTAGTACCCATGTTTTCTGAATTCCCTACAGTGATTCCCATATATTCTGTGGCAATGGGGAAAATCCCTCTCCTTTATCATTGTAAATCCACTGAGATTAAATTATCTCCATTTACCAACTCTTAGTCATTAAGAGTTATTCAGCAAAATCTTCATCCAATGGCAAAACCACTATTTACCTCAAGTGGAACCAAAACTGGGCCACTGGGTTACAACTAATATAGAAAATGAGGGAAGGGCATATTGCTCCTTCATGCAAGGATGATGCAGAGGTCACGTTTGCATAACAAGCCAAAGGAGTGCAGAAAGTTTTTTTCTAGAAACACTGAAAATATTTTTAAACCAGCTAACTGGGAGTGATACCACTATAGCATGAACAACAGGAACCTACTGATGGTGAATAACTCATCTGCACTGTGCTCCAGGCTGCCATGATTTCATTACTTTCTGGACTTCAATATACCACTTTCATGTTAGCTTATGTAAGCTGAAATCACACCTTTGAATTGTCCTCTGGACCGTCCCTTAGCCTTTTCATACTTCAGCTCTGTCTGCAAAAATGGAGATCACTCCTTGCCTTTAAGCATTGTTCTGTGGATACATTATTATAATTTGCAAGGTGCTGAGATATTTCAGTGCTGAGGATCTTTGACAGATACCTCTCCAACTCCCCAAAGGTACTTACCTTTCAGCTTTTCCCCAAACATAGTAAGAAAGACAGTGAAGTTAATAGGACCTGGCGCCTCCTTCACCATGTCTTCAAGCTCTTCATTCTTGACATTCAGACGACCTGCAGCAGAGATCATTTTTCATAATAAATCACAAATTGTGTTTCAAAAAATGATTCCCATTCACCTCCTCCCACTGGGGAGCTCAGGGCTCTGTGCAACTTTGTTAATAACATGGTAGAACACAACTTCAGAATACCCTAGTGTAAAACAAATTGGCAGAGCTGGCTGAGATCAAAGGATGACTGAAGGAGTACGAAGGATAAACAATATGGATGTGACCAGCAGTGGACAAAAGAATGGGCACTTCCAAATAATTCTTTTTTTTTTTTTTTTTTTTTTTTTTTTTTTTTTACCTCAGGTGAAATATGGGCTCCACTGATAATATAGCAGAGTTCAAACTGACTGAAGTGAATCCAAGGTCTCAGTCTTTGCTCTCCTTCATCCCTTCCCCATCCTTATGCAGCCTATTGATGAGAATTTAGACCCTGGCGAACATACTCAAATTGACTGGTCATTTGCTGTGAGTGCACTTCACAGGCACTGAAGGGCTTCACTGAACAGGAAAGACACCAGAACTTGGCCCTAAGAAATAAATATTTCAGAGTAACAGTAGCTACAGGCCAAAGTTTACAAACCTCATTGTCACAATAAAGAGTTCAGGAGCTTCTGCTCTTTGCACTGACTCTGCTGGCGTCTGATTCCACCCCAGGGAGCACTAAAGATTCTTATCAAACTCTTTTTAATAAGATCCAGATGGCAAAAGCCCAAATGCCTACATCACTGTTCAAGCCTCAAACATTGTAACAAGGATACAACTCCAGGTTTGGGATCATGAACATTTTTCATTTTTCTTTTCCTTGGGAAGATTTTCTTTAATCTGCTTGATATTATCAGGATTGTGATGCGTGTGGAATGGACAATACCTAATCTCATGACATGCACATTCCACCCCATATAAATTCACAACAGCACAGAACCTCACATGAAGTCTTCCTACTTTTATGTGGGTAGAGGGGCAGCTAGTCCATGACAACAACATTAATTGGTAGATATTGCATGGCTCCTAGATGAAAAAGGTGCAGCCTGTGAAGCCTGGATTCAAAGGCAAATCAGAAATGCCTGGCATGGACCTCTGCTTGGGTGGGCTTCTTATAAAATAGTTGCAGGGGAGGGATCTGTGCCTTTGGAGAGTTGCCAGCTGTACAGCTCTGTTACACCCACCAGTGAGTCCCAGACAGACCTTCACTTCACTTCTGAAAAAGGCTGCTCAGGAGACTTTCCAGCTGGAGCTATGTAGAAAGATAGCAACTACCAAAGAGGAGGAAGATCAAACTGAACAGGTTTCCTTCTGCCTCCCATGTATCACGTTGCTTCCCCCACTGTAATTCTAACACAAACTTTTCTCATGTTCTTGAATTTTAAACTGCATTTCTTTTAAGTATTTAATTATTAATACCAGTTTACCTAGTGCAGCAAAGGTGTCTCTCAAGTCTGCTTTGTCAATAAAGCCATCCCTGTTCTGATCCATGATGGTAAAAGCCTGTTGGAAGAAAAAGGAAAATTTATTGCCATTGCCATGTTGCACTGGTCAGTGCTACAGTGACACGTACCAGTCCAGCGGGGCATTATATTCATGCTGTAAACAAGAATATTTCACTTCCTTTGATTCAGCCACATCATTGCATTTTCCTCACTTTCAACACATTACTGTATCTTGGCAAGGGGCTTAATTAAACCCACCCAAACTTCTTCTTACTAAATTAATGCTCAGTGCAGTGTGTAGCTGGGCTGAAGCCAATGCTGGCAGCTCCAGCCATTCAGGCCTTAACCCATAAAAGTTTGAATTAGGGAGGCTTTAGTTAGGGAGGATTTAGTCAGTGGTTACTCTGTGTGTTTTGTACCTTTCCGATACCTCATTGCTTTGTGCAGCTATCATATTCTGTAAAACATTTAATTACTGTAGATCAAGCTAAAGTAAATTTCTTCTGGGCCTCAAAATGATCCTTCAGAAAGAGATAGCTGAATTCTCAAAAGTACAAAGAAATGTAAGTTTCATAGTATTATTTACTCAAAGTTTGTTTCCCTTTCCAATAAACTGTATCCTTCAAAGTGTACTCTGTGCTCTGACTGACCTTGATATGTGGAACTTAAATACTTCTTGTCAGGCAAAATTTAAGTTTTGACAGAAAAAAAACAGTTATTTTTCTATTTTCAGCTGGCACTCTGCTCATTATTTACCAAGCCAGCTAACTGCCTGTCTATTTACTTAACTATTTGCATGTCTTGTCTATTTGCTGCCATCACACTTTTAATGTTTCATTGATTTTGAAAGATTTTAATGACCTGAAATTCCCCTGGTCATATTATAGGGAATATTAGTAGAACCAGGCATGCCCCTGAAGCTGTTTATCTGTCTGACTTGTACATCAATATGAGAGTGTATCTTTACAATGACCAGGAATTATTCTTTCTTTAGTATTATTATGAAAGTTGATGGTCTCCTGAGAATACAGGCAGTCCATTGCAGCTACAGTAACTTGCAGAGTTTTAAAGTCTACTGCTCTACAGGGTACACTTCTTTTCATGGTTGTATTATATCAACATATCTTCATGTAGTTTTACCTCCAGTTTCTCACAAAGCCTCACTGCTCACATTCCAGTTTGCCCATGTGATTACTTGCAGCATGCATGTTAATAACCCTTCATTCACCTGCCAAGCCATCACCTAATAAAAAATAAAGCCCAACTCTTCAGAGTTGCTTTCACTCCTTTTGGAAGGGCTTGATTTAAATGGTAATCCCCACAATTTGGAGGCAAAACAGAAGAAAATGTGAAGACCAAAGCAGA